ACCATCACCATCACGGACGCAGATTTTCCATCTATCAATCCAAAGGATATTCTCACAATTGTTGCTTATTTCCGAAGTCATCAAACTGATTAACTGGGCATCAAAGCATACAGTGCTGCAATGAGCTTTTTGAAGAATTATGTAGTTGAATTCTAAAGATCCGATATCGATTCCGCGCACTTGTTTGGAACTGAGAACTTATTAGAAAAAATCACTTATGAACTGTCTGAAGCTCAAATCTTAGAAAAAGGACCTATTGAAGAACCAGATCTCAGATACGTCTACTTGAAGAAGAAGACCAACCGAAAAGAATTCTTTTGAGCTCTTTACAAACACCTCGTTCCCTCAAAGATCCTCCATAAATTCATCGCCAGTGCTGCCAAGAGTGATGCCCCTGAGCATGTGAAGAATAAGTTTATCAACCATCTCAAGTGGTATTTGGAAGTCTGAGATTGGCTCTACAGAGCATACCTTTTTCATATCAGAAGATGCCAACTAAGTTGACAAGATTGCTAAGTTCACTTAGGGGAGATTATTAATACATGAAAAGTGAACATCTAGCATTCCGAACCAATCAAGATCCAAAGTCAACTAGTGTCCGAGATGTGAATGTGTTCCGAAGTTCATGTTGAAATTGAGATAATGGTGTTCCGAGGTCAAAGTTTGTACATGCATTTAATGCATTTTGTCTTTTTCCTGATGTAACAGCTCATAGGACTAAAATGTATGTATCTTTTATGTCAGTTTATCAAATACTGGGCATTATCTTGTCCTTTGAATATATTTTGGTTCGTACTAGGTTCATCCTTCGCTATTTAAGGTGTGGTTGTTTCATGAATGAATATCCAAGAATAGCAAGTATTCTCTTCACTTCATTTTCAACTTTCTTTCAAGTCAAAGTTCTTTCGTCAAACATTCTTCTTGTTCTTAAATTATCTTTGCATTGATTATACTCGAATTTACTTCATTTATTACTTGAATACTTTGTTGATTGATTATCTATCTTCGTGTCTTGACTGGTTTACTTGACTTGATCGGACCAACATATTAGAAGCAGACATTGATCTTAAAAGTGTTAATTCCAGGTTTGAGTTTTCAAACCATGTCTCCACATAAATCTTGTTCTCTCATATAATTTGGGGATAAGCTTGATTTTCCACATAGAAATGTTAACTTCATCAAACTCATTGCATTAATTTAGAACCATATGAAGACAAAGTGTATAAAAATTAAGAAACTTGATGTAGTAATCCGTAGTTCTACTGTTTTGATACTACTTGTTAGGTACCAAATAAAGGGAAATCTGCGAAAAGGTCCCAATATTTTAGGCCAGGTTACGATTTAGTCGCAAATTAAATTTTGTTTACAAAAAATGACAGATTACCGACTAAAACTTCGGATTAACCCTTCATGGCCGGTTTCACAGATTTAGTCGGTATCTCGTCTTTTTTCGTTAAGTAATCCAAATTTTGGGACTTTTTCATTAATTAATCAAAATTTTAGGGCTTTTTCATTATTTATTACCAATAAACCAAAATATTTGGACTTTTCTGAAGATTACCTTTAAACTAATATATATTATATTATATGATCTAATTTAATATGTACTATTCCATATCTTCTTTCTTATGCTCTTCTAGACTCACTATGTGTTTTTATCGGTGTCGTCAAACCCAACAACAAAAATCTCACTCACAAACCTCGTTAACTCCATCAATTTTCCAAAATTATATATTCACAACTCTATGATCACCTTTCAATCTCCAAATAAAGAATGGAGAAAGTCCTTGTTAATTACATGGATGTCCTTATTATCTAACCATGACTTAAACCGTGGTTCCAACACTTGGATGTTCCTATTACCTAACCATGACTTGAACCCATACACTAATGGCGTTGTCCATAGTGTTGTTAACAATAGAAGATGAATCTCACATGTTCAACCACTGATACATTGGCTCATGTCTTACTTGACCCTTGTTTCCTTACAACACTATAGAATCCCCAACTTAAGATGAATCCCACATGTTTCATCATTTATTGGTTTTTTTTTGTCAAAAAGTAAAGCATTTTGGAAGCCCCAAATAGACTAAAACATAATAATGACAATTATTGTAATATCACAACAATTGTCATTATGACTTAAACGTAACATCACAACAATTCTCATTATTACATTTTAGTCTATTTGGGGCTTCCAAAATGCATTAGTTTTTGGCAAGACAAAAACCAATAAATGATGAAGTTTTTGATAAAGATCGGAACACAATCTTATTGATGGATCCAAGAGCTCCTTCTCGTCCTAAGCCTTTTTCTCCTCAATCTTCTTCCAAAAAATGCACTACAATATGCAATATTATCCCCTCTTTCTCTCCTACAAGCATATAGCTCAATTAGGGTTTCTCTCAGAGTGTTAAGATGACAAGGGAGGCGGAAATGAAGGCTTAAGGTCCTTTAAATAGGACACAACCACTGAAAATTTGGGTTTTCACACTCAGCTCCTACTCGTCGAGTTGGGGTCCTACAACTCATCGAGTGGACTCTAGAAATTACGCGACCATTAACACTCTCTACTCGGCGAGTTGGGGCCTCTAACTCGTCAATTTGATAAGACAACAAGAATACAAATTAATTAAATATTATACCTGGGAGTTGGGATGTTACACCTATTGTAAGGAAACAAGGGTCAAGTAAGACTTGAGCCAAGGTATTAGTGGTTAAACCATGTGGGATTTGTATTTTGTTGTTAATAAAACTATGGACAATACCATTAGTGTATGGGTTCGAAATAAGGTTCGAGTCATGGTTATGTAATAGGAACATCCGAGTGTTGGAACCGTAGCTCATAGGTATACCAAATTAATATTTTAATAGTTTATGATGGATAGCTTGTTGACATTTTTTTACAATTAGAGTTAACATTCTTCATGGTTTTCAGTACATAATATCGAGTTGGTTTTTTTTACCTATGTCGTGCTTTTTTAAGCTTAATGGTTCATTCTTCATGGTTTTCAAGCCCTATTGTAAGGAAACAAGGGTCATGTAAGACTTGAGCCAAGGTATCAGTGGTTAAACCATGTGAGATTCATATTTTGTTGTGAACAACACTATGGACAATGCGAATAGTGTATTGGTTCGAAATAGGATTCAAGTCATGGTTAGGTAATAGGAACATCCAAGTGTTGGAACCACGGTTTAAGTCATGGTTAGGTAACAAGGACATCCACGTAATCAACAAGGATTTTCTCCGTTCTTTATTTGGAGATTGAAAGATGATAATAGAGTTGTGAATATATAATTTTGGAAAATTGATGGAGTTAACGAGGCTTGTGAGTGAGATTTTTGTTGTTGGGTTTAACAACACCGATAAAATCACACGGTGAGCCTAGAAGAGCATAAGAAAGAAGATATGGAATAGTACATATTAAATTAGATCATATAATATATATTAGTTTAAAGGTAATTTTCAGAAAAGTCCAAATATTTTGGTTTATTGGTAATAAATAATGAAAAAGCCCTAAAATTTTGATTAATTAATGAAAAAGCCCCAAAATTTGGATTAATTAACGAAAAAAGACGAGATACCGGCTAAATCTGAGAAACCGGCCACGAAGGGTTAATCCGAAGTTTTAGCCGGTAATCTGTCCTTTTTTGTAAACAAAATTTAATATGGGACTAAATCGTAAACTGGACTAAAATATTAGGACTTTTTCGCAGATTTTCCACCAAATAAACAAATAACTTACAGAAAAAGGGGTTGAATACAATATATGGAAAATTATAATTCTAAAACTGAAATGATAAATACAATAAAAACAGTTGAGATTTTTAGTTATATAAACTTGAATTTCTTGGGATTTAGAATGTAGAAAATAAATCCATAAATCCATCACACAATATTCTTCGATTAACAAACGATTGAAGACTCTAGTTCATCTAATCCAAACAAAATCATCACTCTAAATCCATCACAAAACTCGCTATTTCAATACACACGCATATTCGTGATATGGGATATATTTATAATGCTAGAAAGAGAATTATCTATGTAGCATATAACCTTCTTGAAGAATCTTCAGTTATAATTGGAAAAATATTCCTAGCCATATCATTTTGTCTGCCATTACCCATGTTGGGTAAACCACCACCTAGAAACATAATCTGGCCACAAAGAAATTGTAACCATATTATCTAGTACCACATGAGTTGGTGTTGACTTGGGCAAATACGTAACCTTCATACGTAGTAGTTGGAACTTGAATCTTCGAAGGACAATGTGTATGCTAACTTGGACAAATTAGAATTGATACTAATTGTAATAAGACATCTAACTAACCAAATGCTACCCTTAGAAAACTGAAACAGTCCAAAAAAATGGATTCCACAAGATCTGTTATTTAGGCATATATCTTGTAGACTTATAGATGATAAGTGTTTTACAAAATAGACAGATTATTACTAAGAACTAACAAAAACTTCCTTTGTTGAAGACATGCCCCAAAGATTTGCCAAAATATGAATGTGAGAGGACATGTTTGATTGATGGATGATGTAGAACCATAATTACATGACCTATTATCCAACTTGAAGAGCATTATGCCCACTTATCAATGTCGAACATGGTTTCAACAAGCAATTTTTTGAATCAATAACAACCATTATCCCTATAACTTTGCTAAACTTTTTTATTTTTATTTATTTATTTATTTTTTTTGCTAGAGGTGCATTTAACTAGTTTTTGGCGTGTACTTCAAATAAACCCTTTTGTTGCTCTAACTTCTAACCCCAACAACTTAAAAACAATAAAAAAGTGTACATATAAATTCCATTTGTTTCGAGTTAAATCTATTTCAAAGCATCTACAATAATGTTTCAAACATTACGTCTTCAACTTCCCTACGAATAATCAACAATAAATTATTTGTTTAGAGAGAAATAAAGAGAATCATCAACTCATAACCAAATTTTCCACTACAATCAACTACATCAACACCACAAGGAAAAAAAATAAAATAAAATAACACCTCCCCAACACCCTTCTACACTAATCATTTCTTTTTTTCTTTTTTTCTTTTTTCCTTTTATGTTTATAATTAGGATTGGGGTAGGGTAGGGTGGGGGTGTCCAGTCCTTCATGGAAAATCTTTCCCATGTGTACAAGTTCAAACAATCCCACCACCACCACTTAATACGGCCGATACCGCCCACGTTCATCACCACCACCACCACCGCTGCCGCCACCTCCCCGCCTTGCTCCGCCCGAGCCATTGCTGCTGCTCCTTTCGTTTCTCCGGGGCGGCCTAGCAGCTGGCATCTGTGCTCCGGGCTGTTGCCTACACAACATAAATGATAAATTCCATAACAAAGTAAATGACCAAAATACCCTTATGAAAAACCAAAACTTACAGAACATATCCTATTTGACCATCGGGTAAAACCATTGGAACCATCTGCATACCCCCTGGGACTGGCCCCCTTCCATATATCATTGGCTGTTTACATAATAAACATTTTTCCAAAATTAAATTAGATTAATGAAAAAAAAAAAAATGGAATTTAATATTTATATATCCGATTTGATTGTAAATAAAAACCTGTTGAAAAGAAGGGGTAACGCCATATCTGGGCCCCACAGACCCCCCATATGGATTTGATGAAAAGCCACCATAAACATTTTGAGGGATGTAATTTGGATGAGGCCCGGAATAATGAGGACTAATATTGTCAGATTTTCTATCACTTTGAGGCTTTGCAAGAACCACTTCCAGAAATTGACCTGTATATATGTACAACAAAAAGGTGTTAAAAAAAGTGTTTGGATTTGGTATATTAAATGAAAATAGATTAAAGAATATATATATATATATATATTTTTAAATAATAATAATAATAATACCATCGACTTCATATTTTTCACCATCTTTGACAGCTTTTAAAGCACTTGACCTTTCTGCAAAATGAACAAAACCAAAGTCACGTTTGCCACCTGCTTTTGCAGGTGGCATAACAACTTTGATGACTTCTCCATGGCGTTGAAATAGCTCCTTAAGATGCTCTGTTGATGTGTTCTCTGGAATGTTCTTCACATAAAGTGCCTTCACCTATGAAAAAAACAAAAAAAAAAAAAAAAAATGTTGTTATTTACTTTCACATTTCTTTTCTGTTTTGTGTTCGATGAAATGCCTGAGAGAGATTTACATTTACCTGAGCAGCAGCAGAATGATCAGGTGTGCTTTTAGGGTCAGCCCATGTAACTGTTGGGGTGTTTCCATCAAGCTTAAAATTAGCACTAGCTAGCTTTTGTCTTGAGTAATCAGCACATGCATTGTTGTAATATTCAACAAAAGCAAACCCACGATTACGTGGTGGATTTTGAGGATCCTGAATTTTCAAAAAGAAAAAAGTTTATGATAAGAACAAGATCGTTTATGAAAGATAACGTATAAGTTTTATGAAGCAAAAACAGACCTTTATGAGCTCAATGACTTCAGAACCTGGACCTGTGTCTTCAATTACTTTTCTAAAATCATCATCAGTCCAACTCTTGGGGACATTGCCAATAAATAGTCTGTATTTAGTTTCAGAAAGTGAACACCTTATTGTTCTACCCTGCAATGTTACAGGAATTATCATGATCATGATCATATACTAAACAGTAAACACCACCAGAAAAGAAAATGAATAGAGTTGTTTACCTTAAATTCTTTGTTATGTAGTTCTTCAATGGCTTTTTGAGCAACATCTTTAGTCCTGAATGCTACAAAAGCAAAACCCTTAATTTCATTGGTGTCCCTATTTTTCACCAATCTTACCTGTATAATCATGAAGATATAAATCAAAACTCCATTAGAGTTAAAAAAATATATATATGTGTTTGCTCAGATAAATTACCTCTACAACATCCCCAAAGGTTTCACAAAGATCTGTCAAGTCTTCCTCAACAACATCCTTAGGAAGGCCACCAATGAAAATCTCAGAGCCATGGGGTGGAAGAGCAAGAAGCTCGGTGTGTTTCTTATTATCTTCTCTAGAGAAAGGGGATTTTTTTTCTTCATCATCTACATGTCCAGAAGCGTTTTGGTTTTGGTTTTGGTTTTGGTTTTGGTTTTGATTTTGATTTTGATTTCTATCTTCATCGTGGTCCTTTCCATGATATCCACTAATATCTTCGTGTTCTTCTCCCATTTCATCATCACCTCCTTCAGGTCCTTCTTCCTCCTCTTCAACATCATCATCGACTTCTTCATAGTTGTCATCTTCAAAATCCACCTGGTCGTCAATTTCCCTGCTGCTATCTGCCATGGTTTCTACAAGCAGATCTTTTGACACAATAAATGAAGTTTTAGCTTGGCAATATTGAATAACCTATGTAGGATCTGAGAACACCAGTATCAGTATGTATATTTGTGAGGAACAGACAATTAGACGATGTGGAAGCAAAGGGAATGGATAGATTTTGAAGAAATGAAAGGCGATAAGGATCGAAAGGGGCATCATCAGTCAGTGAATTTATTTAGTAAAATTTTGTGGGTATGAATTTATATTTTGTGTTTGTGAGATAGATATGCAGATAGCCATTTACCTTGGCTTAATCGGGAAGCAGAAGGCAACCGGAGGTGCAAATCGCAGCTGTCGGAAACCGTATATCGTCACAGATCGTCGGTCAGTTCAATCGCAACTCTCGGTAGTCGTTGAGTTCTCTCCGGTCAAACGACCTAATCGCGAAACAATGTAAGCATACATACCCACCATTTCTTCCAGCTTCGATTTCGAAGCTTCAGAAATACTGGGCTACCATTCTTCTTTTGGGCTCTATACCTTTCAACTTGGGCTAACAATCTAACCCATACATATTCAGTAGTATGTTAATGATGTAATAATCAAAATTTGATAAACATGTAATAACAACTTAATGCTTTTTTTTTTTTTTTTTTTTTTGCATAAATTAGAAATTTACCTACTTATCTTTAATTTCGATGTAACAGGGTTTTTTAAGTCTGTAGGTGGAGGTCAATAAATTAAACAAATATGTGAAAATGGTTAAGAGTTTTAAATGATTAAGAATTTAATACATACAAATGTGCATAGATTATTAAAATGCAAAATAATAAAATTAGGATTTTAAAGAAATATGATATTAGACGATTGCCCTTTATAAACAAACGCCGAGATCTCATTTGAAAAGAAAAATATCATGTTCCCCTTTATATTGATATGGGGCATGTATTCACATGGTCCTATATCCATTAAGTTATGGATTATGGTAGAGGTGTAAGACCCAAAATGCTACGATGTATCAATTGGATTCACTTGATGGTGCAGAATCTCAATCAAGTAAATTAGATAAGACGAAATATAGAATAAGAACACAATGGTTAATCTTCAATGCACACTATTTTTGAATAGTCGAATACATAAGATTCTTGATTACACTTGGTTCTCTTGTTTCTCTCCAAATCACGTTCTAAGCACATGGCATCCCCCAAAAATGTCCCACACACATTACAATGCTCAAATGACAATATTTATACCTAGACCTAATAACCAAGCCTAAGCCCAAAACCCAAACAAAACAATATTAAGTCTAACCGAAATCACATATGATTTTGGTCCAAACAACACCAAAACATGGTGTTTTCGGTCCTAGACCGAGAAATCTAAAGGCTTATGAAAAGCAAAGTATTAACCATAATTTATGACCTAACAATCTCTCCCTTGGTTTATAGCTTTCTTTTCTTATGTCCTAACAATCTCCTCCTGGGTTTGTAGCTTTTTTTAATCTTCGCTTTGTGCTAAACTTCAGCTTTTATCTTCGATTTCTTCACAAATTCAATATGAACATATGAATTTCTGCATGAATGACTTTATCTTGAACAGTTGGGCTTCCTTCAAAGATTTAACATTGAACGCACATTGGGTGTAGAGGCTTCTTGTAAGGATTCTTGAAAATCAGCACTTGCAGCTTTGAAACACTTCAGAGAAAATAACAGAGAGACCAATTCTTCTAGATCACTTTAGTAAGTTCACTGATAGCAGCAAATTGATTGAGGAGGCTTCAATGCAATCTGTCACACAACTTCAAGTACAGCTTTACCTTGCTTCCGGAGTTGAAAGATTGGGTGTTGAAAAATAATCTTCACTTCTTGTTTCTTCGAATGAGAATTCTTTAATGATCATTGTTGCGCCTTGAAAAGTAACCATGACTAAAAATTCCCTGTGGATCACAGAGTCATAAAGACCCTTCTCACCACAGTTATTCAAGGACCCAGCCTTAGCTCAGAATGAGACTATTAGCAGTATCTATGTGAACACGAAGGAACGCACTGTGATTTGTTGAGTATCGGAGAACTACTCATGGCCTTTTTTTATGTCAACCCCTGTATATCCTAAATCAAAGATCTCAATATAGTTTTTCAAGTTAAACAAGTTAACTTGGCCCTTGGCGAGATGTTCAGTGATAATCGTGACCTGCGAGGTGCATCGCCTTGGTGCCATGACATCTGTACAGTTTCAGACTTTTAATTTCTTAAATACGACAGTTCTTTGAAAGATACTGACTAACTGACAATTTGTACAGTTTCAATCCTTCAATTCCTTGTGAAAATAGAGTGAAGTTTAATGACCATCAACTCTTTTCCAAGTTTCTTCTCGTTACATAGAAAGTTATGATAGAGTCTGATACGATCTCCTTGAGCCTCTTCTTCTTTTTGAATTTGCTTTTTAAGACAAGCGAAACTTTGAAATAAAAAATAAACATAAAAATAAACTTGGAACATGTAACGTCCGCATTTCCAGGCTAGGCATTATCGTTGATGTAATAGTCTAGGTTAACCTTATAACTCTTTTTGAAGTATTAATGATGAAATATTTAAGTATTATGTGAATTATGTGATTTACGTGTTTGTTTTCTTAATTATTATAATTTAATGAATTAGGAATAAAATAAGCGTCAAGAGTAAAGTGTGATAAGCCCGATATCTTTTCCGAGTTATAACGAAGAAGTTATGACATGTCGAAGTTTCGCAACATAACCGACACGACGTTGAGTGACGTAAAAAGTGAGTTTATGTTAGAGCGATAATTAGCCTTTGTGATCTAAACGAAAGTCGTAGAATTCGTTAAATTGAGAGCGTGCATAAAAAGAACGCCCAAATCCGACTTCGTATGAGGAAGTTATGATTTTCTGAAGTTTCAGCATAGTGGTATACAACCCGAAACTCGAATATGAGATCGTGTGATTTTTAGCCAAAAGCAATCTAAACGAGAATCGAATATCTCGTCATTAGTAGTGCAACAATAAAAAGACAGACGAAAACGGACGTCAGATGAAGAAATTATGAATTTATAACGGATTTTTCTTGTCCCGGCCTACTAAAAATAAATAATAAAAAATAAATTCAAAATTAGCCGACGGAGTCTAAACAAAAGTTGTATAGTGTAGTCTCACCTACGCATGGATATAAAGAACGTCGGAAACGGAGTTCGTATGAGGAATATATGAATTTTTGAAGTTTATTAAATAATTTAAATATTAAATTTAAATATAAATTTTGATATTATCCAAAACCGGGGAGTCACCGGACTTATCCGGGTTACGCCCAGCGTACCCAAGATTACAACCAACATAATCGAAGGTTTCAGCCCCTATATAAAGGGTGCGAGGGCAACCGAGTTTTTTTGCTCATTTTCTCTTCTCTCTCTCCCGTTTTACCTCGTTTTTCGTGCAAGAAATATCCCGAAGCTCCAATATCATTCCTGATGTAACGTCCGGGTTTCAGGGCTAAGCATATTTGTCAATGTAATAGTATGGGTCAACTCTTGTAACTCTTTTTGAAGTAATAAAGATGAAATATTTGAGTATTATGTGAATTATGTGTATTTATGTGCTTATTATTTAATTATAATTGAAATAATTAATAAAGAATAAAATAAGCGTCAAAATTAAAGTATGGGATAAGCTCGATATCTTTAAATAAAGTTGTAGTGGTTGAAACAAGGATTCCGGGGATATAGAGAATGCCAAAATCCGAGTTATAACGAAGAAGTTATGGCTCGCCGAAGTTTTACGGCAAAACCGGCACGGCACCGGGAGACGTAAATAGTGAATTTACAACGAAGGACTTTTTAGCCTTAGTGATCTAAACCAAAGTTGTAGTATATTTTAAACCGAGAACATCCATAAAAAGAACGCCCAAATCTGACTTCGTATGAGGAAGTTATGATTTTTCTAAGATTCGGCTTAGCAGTGTACGACCCGAAACTTGAATTTTAGTTCGAGCGGTTTTTGGCTTACGCGACCTAAATGAGAGTTGAATATCTCATTAATAGGAAATCAACGGTAAAAAGACAGACAAAAACAGAGTTCGTATGTAGAAGTTATGAATTTTACGCGGACGTTTAACAGTATAATCTCTTTGTACTGTTAAATTTAAGATCGGTCGAGAATTAGCCGACGGAGTCAAAATGAAAGTTGTAGATCTTATTATTACCTACGTGTGGATATAAAGAACGTCAAAAACGGAGGTCGTATGTGAAAGTTATGGATTTTAGAAGTCGGAAGTGTGCTGTGCGAAAATGGGTGATGTGACACAATCTTGGCCATTGCTTTCTTCCCAAGGCTTGCCACCAGATGGTGACATGTGGCACCAAGTTCAGCCACATTTCACCCTATAAATACCACCTCTCCCACCCTCATTTTCTTCACACATTGCCCATTCTTTCTTCTCTTTACTCTCTCTCTCTAGAACCTCTCTCTAGCCCCAAAATCCCCCGAAAAGCCTAGGGAACCTCCCTAGCACGAGGCGGAAGCCCCGGAGTGCTCGATCGATCCGAGAAGAAGAGTGTTTGAGCTCGGAAGCCCTGCTCCAAGCAAAGTCTGGTTTTCTATAAAACCCGTTGTAAGTGAGCTACGTCTACGCTATTTTTAATATAGCTTATATTTAATTATAATAACGTTATTAGGAACATATAATAAATATTTGGGCTATTATTATGGGTTATATAAGTATTCTTTTAACGCTTATATAATAGTAATAATAGCTCGAATATTAATTAGTCTCGGCGAATAATAGACTAAACTCTAGTGGTAATAATACTAGGTTTCGTCGAAGGAAATTATTTTTAAGAAGCGAAGCGCTGTCTGAGTTCAGAATCACCACCTTTTCAGATGAGTGCATAGTTACTTTCATCTTACACATAGATATGAAGTATTTTATATATTACGTGCTATGTGTGCATATTATATGTATACTTGTTATCGATGTTGGATGAATGTTTTTATACAAGTTTTAAATGATTTAAATTGTATATGTATTTTATATCTACAAAAATGTTGGGGTAAAACATGGGTAGATGTAATAAGACGATGTGTGATAAAATGATGAGTGGCCCCAATGTTGTTGTTGTTGATCCAGTCATCTAGCGGAGTATAGATGATGACCACGGACTCTTCTAGACAGTCCAGTGGAACGCTGGCAGGCTCGCAACCTGTAGGCGTTGTGAACGATGTGTTCACCGGTGTACTCCATCCCCTACATGGTTGCCTTTAGGACATTTATTGCTGAGGAACCCCCTTAGCATAGTGTCCATCCCGATGATAATCCTTAGGATAGGTCCCTTATGATAGGTATTTAGGGACTTAATGTGAGGATAACGGGAATGGGTAATTGGGTTATTGTTGATTGATGAAATTAATAAACTTATTTATTGTGGGTTGAAAACCCTATGTGCTCACCAGGATCCCCAACCTGACC